CAGGGAGGATAGAGAGGTCTGATAACAGGTGAAAAATACAATTAGGAGAGGCCAGCACTGTGGCGTAGCAGGTAATGCTGCCGCCTGCAGTGCCGACATCCCATATGGGCGCCAGTTCCCCAAATGGCCACAACGGCTGAAGGTGAGCCGATCTGAAGCCAGGAACCAGGGGCCTCCTCTGGGTTTTTCATGTGGGTGCAGGAGCCCAAGGACTTGGGCCATCCTCTGCTGCTTTCCCAGGCGCATTAGCAGGGAGCTGGATCGGAAGTGTAGCAGCTGAGACTCAAACCGGCACCCATATGGGTTGCTGGAGCTGCAGATTGGGGCTTTAACCTTCTGCACGACAGTGCTGGCCTCTGGATTATTTTTTTAAAGATTTATTTTATTTATTTGAAAGGCAGAGTTACAGAAAGAGAGGGAGAGTGAGACAGAGGGAGAGAAATCTTTCACCCAGTGGTTTACTCCCCAAATGGCTGCAACAGCTGTGGCTGGACCAGGCCACAACCAGGAATGTGGTATTCCATTTTGGGTCACCCATGCGGGTGGCAGGGGTCCAAGCACCTGCGCTGTCTTCTGCAGCCTTCCCAGGAACATTAGAGAGGGACTGGATAACCCATTGTGTCATAACGTGGCCCTGAGGTGTTTGAATTATTATTTTTAAAAAAAGACTTTATTTATTTATTTGAGAGGTAGAGTTACAGAGAGAGAGAGAGAGAGAGAGAGAGAGAGAGAGGAAAGGTCTTCCATCTGCTGGTTCACTCCCCAAATGGCTGTAACAGCTGGAGATGATCCGAAGCCAGGAGCCAAGAGCCAGGAGCTTCTTCCAGGTCTTCCACTTGGGTACAGGGACCAAAGGACTTGGACCATCTTCTTCTGCTTTCCCAGGCCATAGCAGAGAGCTGGATTGGAAGTGGAGCAGCTGGGACTCAAAGTGGTGCCCATATGGCATGCTGGCACTGCAGGCAGAGGATTAACCTACTGCACCACAATGCTGGCTCCTGCTTGAATTTTTACACTGACATTTTTTGTTTAAGTTCAATAATCTGCTTGTGAAAGTCAGTTTAAATGGGAAAAAGTATTATATGATACATATCCCCTCTAAACCTCTAACAAATTTGCCTAAAACATGACAAACACAGTAAGATGTTATCTATAAACAACATGCTATCATATTAGGATATAAAATGCTTACAACATCACTGGGATCATCCACCAATGTGGCTGTGAACAAGGAAGTGCCCTGTGTGCAGCAACACAGCCTCTCTTCTGCACAGCAGCACCCAACGGCCACATTCCTTCTCGCGACGCCCACTTCAAACGTCTCTCTGTGTATTTAGGAAGTCACCCAAGACTTTTACCACACAGTGTGCTGTTAATATTTGGAGCTCTTGGAATGTAAATATGAAGTTTTCTTACACAAACACCAGCTGAGCACGGCACACACGTAGGAACGTTTCTAACGTGTCATTTCGAACGCACTCACATTGCTTTTATCAGAGACAAGCAGAAATTTCTTGTCCCTTTTCACCTTAGAAACTGTTGAAAAATTTCTCAGGAGAAGGAGGGAGGGAGGGAGGGAGAGAGAGCGAGAGAGAGAGCGAGAGAGAGGAGCTGTAATTTTTAAACTGCTTGTGTGCAAATAAATTTTAAGTTCTTCAAAGGATGGGTTCTCAGGAAATTTCTAAGTTTACATTTTTATTTTCTTTAAAGATTATTATTATTATTATTAATATTTAATGGCTTATGAGGGAGAGAGAGAGAGAGAGAGAGAGAGAGGCAAGCACTCCATGAATGCCTGCAGCAGCCCCTGACAGGTGCCAGCAGCTCAGTCTGAGTCGCCCACGTGGGTAGAAGGAATTCAGCTATGTGAGCCATCACCTGCTGCCTCCCAGGCTCTGCCTTAGCAGAAAACGTAGTCGCAGCTCGAGGTGCGTATTGAATCCAGGTAGTCTGATATGGAGACTAGTGTCTTTTAAAATTTATTTTAAAAGGGGCGGGGGGGGGAGAAAGAGAGAGAGAGAGAGAGAGAGGGAAAGATAGAGAAAGATCTTCCATCCACTGGTTCATTTTCTAAATGGCCAAAACCACTGGAGTTGGGCCAAAAGCCAGACCTGGTTTGCTGATGTGGGTGGCAGGGGCACAAGTACTTGGGCCATCTTCTGCTTTCCCAGGCATTTTAGCAGGCAGCTGGATTGAAAGTGGAGCAGCTGGGTTGTGAACTGGTATTCATATGGGATGCTGGTGTGGCAGGTGTGGCTTAATCCACCATGCCACAATGCTGGCCATTTACCTGGTTTCTTAACTGCTGGGCCAAACCTCTGCCTCTAAGTTTATATTTTTAAAAGTACTTTATTGATGCATGAGTTTCATTTATAAAAGTTCAAAAATCTTTTTAGAAACTTCTGTTTAGTAGATGAACACATGGATGTGGTCTGAGCAGCCAGAAGACTGATACTGGGTCAAATCTGATGAACAGAAATATCCAGAGTTTAGTGTTTCTAAGACTAAATTTCTAGAATATATAGAACAGAAGGGCTAAGGCCTCAAAGTACATTGGTTTTAGAGACTTGAAATATTCTTCTAAGAACATTCAATGGCTATTGATTATTGGCCCATGGTAACTTAAATGTCTTTGACTTTGACCGGTGATTGCTTTAACCTGCCAGAGCCATTGCATACAGAGAGTACTTTTTCTGTTTATTGAGAAAGGATATCAAGCCTGGAATCAAAGGTTAGTGATTTCAACACAACTCACTTTATGTTTACATGTTAAAAATTTTTTAAAAAAGATTTAATTATTTATTTGAAAGGCAGAGTTACAAAGAGGCAGAGAGCGAGAGCGAGAGAGAGAAAGGTCTTCCATACACTGGTTCACTCCCCAAATGGCCACAATGGCTGCAGCTGGGCCCATCTGAAGCCAGGAACCAAGAGCTTCTTCCAGGACTGCAAAGCAGGTACAGGGGCCCAAGGACTTGGGCCGTCTTCTATTGTTTTCCCAGGCCATAGCAAAGAGCTGGATGGGAAGTGGGGCGGCTGGGACTCAAACCAGCATCTGTATGGGATGCCAGCACCACAGACATCCAGTTCAAGTTCTGGCTGCTCTACTTCCTATCCAGGGGTACAAGGGGTACCAAGGGGTACAACTTGATATATTTTTAAAAGGATTTATTTAGTTTTTTTGAAAGACAAAATTACAGAGATAGAGAGAGAGAAAGAAAGAGAGAGAGGGAGATTTATTTTTCATCTGCTGGTTCACTTCTGAAATGTTTTCATTGGCTGGGGTGGACCAGGTGGAAGCCATGAGCCTGGAACTCCATCTGGGTCTCCCACATGGGTGTGGGGCCCAAGCACTGGGGCCATTAGCTGTTCCTTTCCCAGGTGCACTAGCAGGGAGCTGGACTGAAAGTGGAGCAGCCAGGACTCAAACTGGTGCCCATACGAAATAAGGCAGTGTCTTAATCTGCCATGCCACAATGCTAGCCCCACAACTTGATATTTTTATCTATGTGTGTGTGTGTGTGTGTATAGTCACTGGAAAGTCACTTTATTGCAATGCCACCAGCAGCACAATCTGTTCCCAATATTACCCTCCTTCTTCCTTTAAGATCCTATCTTTCTTTTTTTTTAAATTTATTTTATTTATTTGAAAGACAGAGTTACAGAGAGAGGTAGAAACAGAGAGAGAGAGAGGTCTTCCATCCTCTGGTCCACTCCCCAGATGGCTGCAACAGCTGGAGCTGCGCCAAACTAAAGCCAGGAGCCAGAAGCCTCCCCTAGGCCTCCCGTGTGGGTGCAGAGGCCCAAGAACCTGGGCCATCTTCCACTACTATCCCAGGCCACAGCAGAGAGCTGGATCAGAAGTGGAGTAGCTGGGAATAGAACTGGCACCCATATGGGATGCCGATGCTTCTGGCCAGGGCTTTAACCCTGCTGCTCCACAGTGCCGGCCCCAAGATCCTATTTTTCTTAAGTGGTCCCATGAATGCCTTCTTCTCCTCTACAGTCGGGAAGCAGCCATGGCCAAACTTGGAGGTGGTGTCGTTGGGCTTAAGGTCAATCTTCTCCTGGGCCTGCCACCTGGTCTGCACCAGCAGGGACTTGCGGAGGGTGAGCACTCGCTTCTTGGTCCCACCACACAGCCTTTCAGCACGACAAAGTCACTGGTCACTTCACTGTAATGCACAAAGCCACCCGGAGGATCGATGCCCCTGTCGGACAGGTCGTGGTGGGTGGAGGGTGTTCTTGATCGGCCTGCTGTCCACAGCGGGGTAGCCCTGCCCGATTTTGTAGATCTTGTTGATTTCTGTGCACTGATGGTAGCCTTCCTGCCTAGCCCACACCATGGAGAAGGCCCCCAGTGCAGGGTGCCACTCCTCAGTACAGGTGACTCTGCACAGCCCTAGCTGGGTCTGGTGCTGCAGCTTCTTGGTGAACTCTTTGTAGCCTTTGCCCTTGGTCACGCCAATGACATCAGTCGTCTCGTCCTGACCACTTGGCTCTCCGGGATCTGCTGCTCCAGCCATTCGCTGGCCCAGCCATGGTGCTGCCATTCACCTGGATCTCCGTCAGGTGGGCCGTCCCCTGCTGTGGAGGCAGCAGGTGCATCTGCACATGGGCTGTGATGGGGATGACCAGGCAGTCCTCCTTCATGCTGCCAAAGCTGTCTGAAGGCCTTTCTTCTTCCACTTCTGCCAGTTCTTGTAAAAGCACCTTTTGCACTCAGGCTGATATGGTCAGCAAAGAGGGTCTCGAAGGTGTGAAGGCCTCGAGGGGTTTCCACGCAGCCCACGATGCTTATGAGCACTGTGAGCGGTGTCTCCACGGTGGTCGGAGCCTCTCCAAGTTCCTTGTTGCTCCCCTTGGAGCCCGGCTGGCGTCGTCCGGCATGATGTGAGTCAGGCCGTCCTCGTGGCCCAGGAAGGCAGTGAGGTGTCCGGGCTTGCATGAGTCATCCCTGGGGAAGCTGCGTTTTCCTGGCAGAAAGCCCAGGGACCCGTGTCTGGGGGAACTTCCGGTGAGACATCTCGATGCCGAATCTGCCGGTGGAGTCTGTGTATGCATTTTGTAAGGATCACCACAATCTAGCTAGTTAACATATTATTATCTCTACGCAGTTATCATCGCATAGGTAAGATTTAATTTTTAAAAATTGGCAGATAAGGCCGGCGCCGCGGCTCACTAGGCTAATCCTCCGCCTAGCAGCGCCGGCACACCGGGTTCTAGTCCCGGTCGGGGCGCCGGATTCTGTCCCGGTTGCCCCTCTTCCAGGCCAGCCCTCTGCTGTGGCCAGGGAGTGCAGTGGAGGATGGCCCAGGTGCTTGGGCCCTGCACCCCATGGGAGACCAGGAAAAGCACCTGGCTCCTGGCTCCTGCCATCGGATCAGCGCGGTGCGCCGGCCGCAGCGCGCTGGCCGCGGCGGCCATTGGAGGGTGAACCAACGGCAAAGGAAGACCTTTCTCTCTGTCTCTCTCTCTCACTGTCCACTCTGCCTGTCCAAAAAAAAAAAAAAAAAAAAAAAAATTGGCAGATAATACTTGTACATACTTATGGAGTACCCGGTGGTATTTTGATAAATGTATGCAAAATATAATGGCCAAATCAGGGCAATTAGCATTTCTATCATCACTCCAGACATTTATTGTTCCCTGTATTGGGAAAGCTCAAGAGCCTCTCTTCTAGCTATTTTGAAGTATACAATAAGTTACGGTACACTGTATGAAAATACTTCAGAAAGTTCATGAAAAATGCATTTCAGGGTGTGCATAGCATACACGGGAGCCCTGTTCTGTGGTCCCAGCGACATGGGACCACGACTCTCAAGGCAACACATTCTGTCCCTACCCGCAAACTAGCGAGCCTCTCTCTGTACTCACCGAAAAGCACTTGCCTTTTGATTGCACGTTTCCTTGAGATTTCAGAGAGTGGAACAGTGATGGTGGGTACCAGAAGCCCTGGAGCAGGACACACCCTGGCAGCAGTCCCAGGGCAGTGGTCACAAAGGCCACATGGGGCAGGGGCACCGTGTCGCCGCCTTCCTTGCGGGAAATGCAGCTGTGTGGACTCCTGCAGCCCCTCCACTGAGCTCAGTGCCTGTGGACCCCGGGTCTCCAGTGGAGAGGACTGCAGGTGCCCGAGGCAAGGGGACTGGGGTCCTCTTGCTTCCCTTTCTTCTGCAGGGAAGGGTCCCTGCTCCTTCTGTACTGTGGTGAGGCGTTTCCTTCTGTTCTCCGCCCATCCGAGGTTTCTGTGCATGACGGGCGCTCTGCTACTCCCCTGATGGACTCCGGTGGTCTCCTTTAGCCGTCTCCATCAGAACATGGTGTTCATTCCTGTGTCTGTGTATGGGGTAAGGGCAAGGGGCTTTCAGTCAGCGTCTCACTGATACCCAATAAAATTCCTGGCCTTTGGATTAAAACATGATTCATTTATTTGTTTGACATAGAGGGAGAGACGGGGGGGGGGGGAGATTGCATCTTCTGGTTCATTCCCCAAATATCTGTAAATGCCCTGGACTGGAGCTGGATCTGGGTCTCCTAACATGAGTGGCAGGAACCCAGAGCCCAGAGCCATCGTCTGCTACCTCCCAGGAAGCAGGATTCAGGAGCCAGAGCCAGGACTTGAACTCACGCACTCTGATATGGGGTGCAAGCATCGCATCTGGCAGCTTAACTGCTAGGCCAAATGCCTGTCTCTGGTCTTTTATTAATATTTATCAAGACTGTAAGGCTTTTATTTGAGAATTGCATCCAAGCAGACTCCTTTAATCTGTGAGTAGTCCTCTTCAGTGCTTGATATTTTATAAACAAACAAACACTCCATTAGAGGGAAGTGTTAGCTTAGATCATTCCTGGGACATTGATTCCATTGTGTGAGAATTTTAGATCCTTGCAGTAGTTTCCTAACTCGGTGCATGTGACAGTGTAAAAACATAATATTCCACTAGAGGGAGCCATTTACTTATGTATTTCCTCAGGCTTTCAAGTGCATGCCTTGGGAATTGAGTCTTTTCTACAGGAACAGGGGCTAAACGCCATATCCTAGGTCCTCATGCCACTGATCCCACAGGGACCTCACACAGAAATTTTTTTCACACCATAATAACTTTGAAACGCAAGATAGAATGAATTTTCTAGCTACTAACGTGGCTTGCTAGTCCTTAGTGGCAAACTGGAAGTTGTTGATGCAAATGGCATTTGTTTACTTTAACCTGGCTCATAAGTTGTGTATCTTCCCAGGGTGGGGAGAGGGAGGAGAAACATTCAATCAGGGACTGATTCAGGTTGGGCGCTTGGCTGAAGGCGCTGCTTGCGGTGCCCACATTCCACACTGGCGTGCCTGACCCGGGGTCCTGCCCCGGTGCTGACCCCAGCTTCCTGTTAATGTGCACCAGCAGAGGCAGTGGTGACGGCTCATGCAGTTGTGACCCTGCCACCCACCTGGGAGAACTGGATGAAATCCTTGGCTCCTGGCTTTGACCTGGCCCAGCCTTGGCTGTTGCAGCATTTGGGGAATGAATCAGCAGATGGAAGAAGTCTATTTGTCTTTATGCCTTTCAAATAAATTAAAAGATTAAAAAGAAAAGTGACTGGAGCTGGTGCTGCAGCGTGGTGGGCTAAGCCTCCACCTGCCTACAGCGCTGGCATCCCATATGGGTGCCAGTTCTAGTCCCGGCTGTTCCTCTTCCAATCCAGCTCTCTGCTGTGGCCTGGGAGAGCAGCAGAAAATGGCCCAGGTGCTTGGGCCCCTGCACCCACATGGGAGACCCGGAAGAAGCTCCTGGCTTTAGATTGGCCCAGCTCCGGCCGTTGTGGCCTTTTGGAGCCAGTAGATGGAAGACTTTTCTGTCTGTCTGTATGTCTATAGCTCTACTTCTCAAATAAATATTTAAAAAAAAAAAAAAAAGAGCGGGCTGCACCATCATCTGAGACTTTATGCTCAGGGGACACAGTGAGGGAGAAGGGGGGCCTAGAAATGCTGCGGGGCTTTGTGGGAGCCTTTACAGCCTGTTTCCTGGAGAAGAAACACTCAAGACAGATCGCACAGGGACAACAGTGAACATTTTGCCAGGTCAGTCTGCCCATCTGAGATTTGCCTCCGAGACCAGATGCCCAGTGAAGAGACCACTGAGGGATTCAGAGGAGAGGAAATAACCCTGCCCCATATGCCTGCTGTTTAGGGCCTGATTCCTTGCAGCTTCCTACGGCCTAGGACCATGGATGAGCACAGCCCACGCTCTCTTTCACGAAAGCGAGGAGAATCTTATGGGAAACTGGGAGGCGGATCTTAGTTATGTACTGGAGAAGGGTAGCACAGCTGTCTCCTGCAGTTATTCATGAAATGGGAAATGTGCCCAGTGAACTCGGTAATCTAGCTAGGGAGGGCTTTTTAAAAAGATTTATTTATTTATTGAAAGGCAGGGTTACAGAAAGAGAGAGAGGTCTTCCATCTGCTGGTTCACTCCCCAAATAGCCACAGTGGCTGGGGCTGGGTCAGGCTGAAGCCAGGAGCCAGGAGCTACATCTGGATCTCCCACATGGATGCCCAAACTCTTGGACCATTTTCCACTGTTTTCCCAGGTGCATTAGCAGGAAGCTGGATCAGAAGTGGAGCAGCGGGGACTCAAACTGCTGCTCATATGGGATGCTGGCAACACAGGCGGTGGCTTAACCCACTGCGCCACAGTGCCAGCCTGCTAGAGAGGTTTCTAAACAAAATGTCAAAGGTGCCCCTGATTTCTTCTTGAAGTTTAAAGAAAGAGGAGAGAGGTGGGTTGAAGTGAGGACTGTTAAACAGAAAAGATCCGGGCCTTGATTATGATGTTGGAAATTCTCTCCTAGTGGCAAATGATGCCAAAATTCAGGAATAGATTTGGAGCAAGGATTGAAATCAGAGCACTGTCAGGAACACTTAGTGAAAGATGGAATCATGGGTATGAGGGTAATAACTTTAAGATCTCAGAAATACCAAGGTGGTGTTCCAGAGGACTCTTCAGTTACACAAGAGGCCCGTGACCTAAGGTCAGAATGTGCTCCGCAGATCCTTGTAATAAAATAATGGGTCTTCAGGCCTTGGGCAGGAGCTCACGGCAGAGCAGAGCTTATCAAAACGAGACCTGTGACTATGGAGTCTTTCTAATGAAGCAAACGTCAAGCTACGTGAGGGATGCACAAGGTTCTCAGGTGAGTTCTATCCACAGAAGTTTTGTCAGCTGGGTTTACAAGGGAGGCGGCACAAGATAAAGAAAGGCAGCTGGCTCACCGAAACACTGCTAGAAGGGAGGAGGCTGAGGACGTGCTCCAGCCGCACCCACAATCTGCCGCTCATGAGGACGGAAGAATGACCGAGGGGGCAGAACCAAGGGCCAGACGCTGGGCTGGACACCGGCGTCGGCTCATTCTTGGGCCTTGAGAACTAATCTGGGAGTTATAATCCCCATCTGAATTTCAGAATTTGGGAGTAGTGATTGCTTCGCGGTTTCCGTGGCTGTAGCTGCTGCCCCGTTGTTGGCCCGTGTCACAGCTGTGTGGACTGCGAGGAGCGGCAGTTGAGGGGCTGTGCTTACCCTGGTGCAGCCGGTGCACATGATGACCCTGTGGAGTCCGAGTGGAAGCCGTAACCGCAGGAAACCTTTGGTGAGCTTGAGCCGGGTGAATGTCTGCGGGAGGGGCCTGCATCATTAGGGCAGCAGGCAGACCATGCAACACAGCCTGAAGCGCCCTGCCTCCTGCTGTTCATGTATAATCTCCTCCCTAATGGGTGGGACTTGAAGACTTGCTTTGCTTTTTTTTTTAACAACATTTTTTTAAAAAAATTATTTATTTGAGAAGTGGAGTTACAGACAGTGAGAGGAAGAGACCGAGAGAAAGCTCTTCCTTTCGTTGGTTCACTCCCAAGATGGCCGCAATGGCCGGAGCTGAGCTGATCTGAAGCCAGGAGCCAGGTGCTTCTTCCCAGTCTCCCATGTGGATGCATGGGCCTAAGCATCTGGGTCATGTTCCACTGCTTTCCCAGGCCACAGCAGAGAGCTGGATTGGAAGTGGAGCAGGCAGGACTAGAACCAGCGCCCATACGGGATGCGAGCGCCACAGGTGGAGGATTAACCTACTGCACCACGGCGCCAGCCTTGCTGCTGCTTTTTTTTTTTTTTTTTAAGACTTAATTTATTTCTTTGAAATGTAGAGTGACGGGTGCAGGGTTGGGGGGGGGAGGAGAAAGAGAAAGATCTGCCATTTAGTGGTTCACCCCTCAAATGGCTACAAGAGCCAGGACTGGGCCAGGCCGACACCAAGAGTCTGGAACTCCATCTGGGTCTCCTATGTGGGTGGCAGGTACCCAAGTCCTTGGGCCATGTTCTTCTGCTTTCCCAGGCGGATTAGCAGGGAGCTGGATCAGAAGCAAAGCAGCCAGGGTTCAAATTGGCACCCATCTGGGATGCCAGCGTCCCAGTTGACAGCTTAACCTGCTGTGCCACAATGCCAGCCCCGATAACTCTTCTTTGGCACACACCGTGTCCCTCCAGACCTGAGGGGACAGCACAGTGTCTTGCTTACAAAGCCCAGGAACTCAAGTGTATGACTCTTCTCCAAACCTCACGCTGGTGCACCCAAGATCGCAGCTCCTCAACATGCTCAAAACCGAACCCCCACATCAGCCTTCAGACTGGGTAACACCCCCAAAACAACTAGAGTTCAATGACACTGGCAAATCAGCAACCTGAAGACCTACTGAAATAATACGTGTTCCTCTTGCTCTCCCGTGAACTGAGTTAATTAATCCTTTATTCTCCCCAGTTGTCTGCACTTGGGAAACAAGACAAAATACAGTTGGGTAACTCAAGTTCCTCTCTCCCAGCAGGTGCTTGAAGCGTCATCTCTTTTCCCCCTACCCCTGCTTCCCCTCGCTCCCGGGAAACAGGAGGCTGCCTTCGGGATCTGAAGCTCCTGCTTGAGGCTTCGTGAGCTCCGACAGGCCGTCCTTTTCGAATCCCAAGGTCATGATCGAGTCCTCAGGCCGGCAGGAAGCTGTCTGTGCTGTAGGAAGTTTTCTCCACCTGAATTTTGCCCCGCTCACCGTATTGGGTGGTGCCAAGGAGAAGCGGTGGATGACTTGGTTCTAACAGATAAAATCTGACAAGACGATGTGATGTCCCTTCTGACACTAGGTTACAAAACCACTCATGTGTTGGCATCCTTTCATTTGCTTGCCCTGTGGAATGCCAGTCTGCGTGCTGTGAGCTGTCCTGTGGGGTGGCCCCCGGGGCAGCAGCCACTGAGGAACCAGGGCCTCCAGCAGGCACTGGAGTGAGCTCGGGAGTGACTGCTCCCCCTAGCTCACAGCTCTGACAGCTCTGAAAGGTTCACTGCAACCTCTTGAGAAGCCTTGAACTAGAGACACCCAGCAAAGCGGCACCCAGCTTGCTGGTTCACAGAAACTGGGAAAAGAAATACTTGCTGTTTCAAACTGCCAGGTTTTGGAATAGTTTACATGCAATAATAGATGACAAGTAAAATCCTGTGTTTCATGTGTGTGGGAAACATTGTATCAGTGAATTTAGATCCAGAAGTCCTGCGTTCAAATCCTGTTTTTCAGCAATGCACTTAGTCTGCTTGAGCATCCGTTTCTTTAGGTAAAATGCAAACAATAACTTTCCCAGCTATTTCACAGGGTTATTGTGAAGAGTAGATGGATTCAGTGAAGATGAAATGAGTCGCTCTACAGTCGTTCTAGCGGTGGAATGACCATGGCGTGATGATGGATCTCAGCTGTCATGGGCGTAGGTGAGGGTGCTTGGGGGCATAGGCAGTTCCTGTTGTCATTTCTGCGGTTGGGAGAGTGCTGACAACAGGTGCAAAGCACCTGTGATGACAAGGTGTCTTCGTGGCCTGTGGGAAGCCTGCACCTTGCTGTGTATAAATGGGAGGACCTCACAACAGATTTGGACATATGAGGCAGGATGATCAGGACCAAGGTGCTGAGCAAGGCCACCAAGGCTGGGGTGAAATTCACCATCTCCAGCACCTTTGGCCCACAAGCAGCCAGCTCCATCAGAGGCCCACAAGCAGCCAGCTCCATCAGAGGTGTGTAGCTACAGAACAAAGGGTTGATGGTGGAGATGAAGGAGATCCCTGCCAGCCAGCAGCTGAGGATGAGCCGTGTGCATGCACAAACTGCACAGGGTAAAGGAGGGGCTTGCCCGTGGCAGTGTGCCTGTCGCAGGCTGTGGCTGCGAGGAGGAAGAACCCTGTGGCTCCCAGGAAGATGTGGGACGAGTCTTGGGTGGTGCAGCCGGCAAAGCTGGATACCCAGGGCGATGTTGAGCAGCGTCTGGGGCACAGCGATGGTGTGGGAGAGAATCTCTAAGCAGGACACATTGCGGATGGAGGAGCATGCGGGGGTGAGCGGCGAGTGTTGGGCCAGGTCAGGCAGATGAACGACAGGTCTGCAGCGACTGTCGACTGTCGTCAGGCGCGGGAGCAGCAGGAGCCGGAAGATGGCCACCTGCAGGGAGCCCTTCGGTATCTGTCAGGCCTCGGAGGTCTGACTGGCTGTTCAGACCTCAGGCCCTCTGCAGAAATGCACAAGCCTGGGCCCAAAGGACCTCCAGACGTGAGGGTGGGGAGAGGGAATAGGGCTCCTGCAGCCCAGCATTGCTTTACCTCTGCTGCCCCCTCATGGATGCAGGGAGCATAGCAGACACTGCAGTCGCTCTCCCTTGGCCAGCAGTCACTACATCTAGAATCTCTACAGAATTACTGAGTGTGGGTGATTTTGCTCTCCCCACACTTCTTTCTACTTTTTAAAAAATTTATCTATTTATTTACTTGAGAGGGAGAGAGATACATAGATTTTACATTCACTGGTTCATTCCCCAAATGCCCTTAACAGCTAGGGCTGGGCCAGCCTGCAGCCAGACATTCAGTGGGTCTCCCCTGTGGGGTTAGGAACCTAGCTACTTGAACCATCATTTGATGCCCCCCAGGGTGATCAGCAGGAAGCTGGAATCAGGAGCAGAGCTGGGATTTAAACCAGGCACTCCGATATGGGATGCAAGCGTCCAAACTGGTGGCTTAACCAGAGGCCAGACACCCATCCTCTCTCTGCCTTTCTTTTATTCTTTCCCCTTTTCTCCTACAGATAATCCTCTGCTGCCCTCCCCAGTCCTCCTGAGAGCTGGGAAATACTTGTTTATTCTTCAGGATCTGGCTAGATTAGCCTCTTCCTCCTGGCCCCTATAACACACAGTTTACCCCTCTGTTGTGTTTCTATAGAGTCAGTTACACGTGTGGACTTCAAAAAGCTCATGCAAAAATGGAATTAAAAGATGTTGATCTTGGTGCCATTTTTTTGAAATCCATGCAGTTTTTCCAAAATATACATTTTCCTTGAGTTTTTGAAGATCCCTCATATGGGTGATTTAAGACTTTTTTTGCACTAAAATAAATATGTTTTTAAAAGATATATGTATTTATTTGAAGGGCAGAGTTACAGAGAGAGAGAGGGAGGAGGGAAGAGAGAGAGAGAGACGGAGAGAGAGAGTGAGGTCTACTATCTGCTGGTTCACTCCCCAAATGGCCGCAACTGCCAGAGCTGCGCCGATCCAAAGCCAGGAGCCAGGAGCTTCTTCCAGGCCTCCTACATGGGTGCAGGGGCCCAAGAATGTGGGCCATCTTCTACTGCTTTCCCAGGCCATAGCAGAGAACTGGATTGGAAGTGGAGCAGCTGGGACTCAAACCTGCATGCATATTGGATGTTGGCACTGCAGGTGGTGGCTTTATTTGCTACACCACAGCACCAGCCCGCTGGCTGCCTTTTGATACATTTCTATTGCCAGATTTTTTTTCTAGAGTCAGGAAGACAGACACACCCCCATACCCCCACATCCACACTAAAACACAGATACAGAGAAGAAAATCTTTTTTTTTTAAAGATTTTATTTATTTATTTGACAGGTAGAGTTGCAGACAGTGAGAGGGAGAGACAGAGAGAGAAAGGTCTTCCCTCTGTTGGCTCACTCCCCAAATGGCTGCAACGGCTGGAGCTGTGCCGATCTGAAACCAGGAGCCAGGAGCTTTCTCCGGGTCTCCCATGCAGGTGCAGGGGCCCAAGCACTTGGGCCATCTCCACATCCCAGACCACAACTATTGGACCGGAAGAGGAGCAACCGGGACTAGAACCGGCACCCATATGGGATGCCGTCACTGCAGGCAGAGGATTAACCTTGTGTGCCATGGCGCCAGCCCCTGAGAAGGAACTCCTCCATGCTGGTTTACTCCTCAAATGCCCACAACTGCTGTGGGAGGGGGGTGGGCAGGGCAGAAGCCAGGAGGAGGGAATTCAATCTGGCTGCCCATGTGGGTGTCAGGAACCCAATCATCTGAGGCATCACTGCTTATTCCCAGGTTCTGTGTTAGCAGGAATGTGGACTCAGGAGCCAGGACCACGAATCAAACGTACACTCTAATAGGGGACTGAGGCATCTGAGTGATCGTCTTAGCTACTATGCAAATGCCCTCCTTTGCAGCAAATTCGAAACAAAGTTTTGACGTGGGCTCACATTCCATTTGTCTGAGAAATTCCCGAACAGAAGAACAGGGCAGAAGCTCACGTGTCCGTTGGAGCAGCTTCATGACCGTCACTCAAAATTTCCATTTATTCAGAGCCCATTAAAACTAATGAAGTTTTGCTGCTTTTCTGACTACATCCTTGAAGGCTTGTATTACTTGTTTGTTCCTTATGGTGTAAATGAATGGGTTCAGCAGAGGAGCAACCGAGGTATTGAGTACAGACACCCCCTTGTTGAAGGCAACTCCTTCTTTTGCTGAGGGTTTTGCGTACATGAAGATGCAGCTTCCGTAAGACAGGGAGATGACAATCATGTGGGAAGAGCAGGTGGAAAAGGCCTTTTTCCTATGCTGGGCAGACGGGATCTTCAGAATGGTCCTGATGATGTGTGTGTAGGAGATAATGACCAGCACCAGCGTGACCTCCAAGGTCACGACGGCTAAGATAAAGTCAATTAGTTCCAGGAGTCTTGTATCTGAGCAGGCTATCTCTATGAGGGGACCATAGTCACAAAAATGGTGATTGAGTCTATTGGATGCACAAAAGTCCAGCTGACTGGTGAGGATGATTGGGCACAAGATGATGAGGAATCCCCCCAGCCAAGAGCAGAGAACCAACTGGACACACACCCTGGGGCTCATGATGGCCGTGTAGTGCAGAGGTCTGCAGATGGCCACATAGCGGTCGTAGGACATGGCGGCCAGCAGGTAATACTCAGTGGCCCCGATGAAAATGGCAAAAAAGTACTGAGTGAAGCACCCAGCAAAGCTGATGGTCTTATTTCCCGTTGAGATACTGAACAGCAGCCTAGGCGTGAACGTGGTTGTGAAAGCAATCTCCAGGAAGGAGAAATTCCTGAGGAAGAAGTACATGGGCGTCTGGAGGCGGGCGTCCAGGAGCGTGAGGGCCATGATGAAGAGGTTTCCAATGATGCTGAAGACGTAGGCGAGGAAGAGAAATATGAACATGAACATCTGAATCCCTGGGGTGTCTGTGAGCCCCAGCAGGATGAATTCACTCAAAGTGTTGTTTCTCATCGCTGACGCTGGCTGATTGCGAAGCTGAGGAAGAGAAAAGTGAGTGATGAGAAGGGGAACAGAGCTGGGGAATGTTGAGAGTGAGCTGTAGCAGTCCCCTGAAATGTGTTCATTGGAATTCCTTTGGCTACTTGACCCAAAAAGAACTGTCTTTTTGTCTTAATCTGGCCCTTCACAAAATCTGTTTACATCCCTACATGGGAGCCTTTGTTTCTCAAGTTTTTTTTTTTTTTTTTTTAGATTTATTTAGTTATTTGAGAGGCAGAGTTATAGAAAGAGAGAGGAAGAGACAGAGAAGTCTTCCATCTGTTGATTCACTCCCCAGATGACTGCAACAGCTGGAGCTGGGCTGATCCAAAGCCAGGAGCCAGGAGCTTGTTCTGGGTCTCTCATGCTGGTGCAGGGGCCCAAGCACTTGGGCCATCTTCAGCTGCTTTCCCAGGCCACAGCAGAGAGCTGGATTGGAAGTGGAGCAGCCAGGAATCAAACTGGTTGCCAGCACTGCAGGCAGATGCTTAGCCTACTATGCCACAGTGCCTGCCCCTCTGAGGTGTTTTTCTCAGAAGAGCATAATGGTCCCTAGATCTCCTTAAATCATCTTCTGTATTTTTATTCTCATCTCTTTCTCCTCACTTTGCTTTGTTCTCTTTTTAAAAAGATTTATTTGAAGGGTAGAGTTACTGACAGTGAGAGGGAGAGACAGAGAGAAAGGTCTTCCACCCGCTGGTTCATTCCCTAGGTGGCTGCAATGGCTGGAGTTGGGCCAATCCAAAGCCAGGAGCCAGGAGCTTCTTCTAGGTCTCCCACACCGGTGCCGGGGCCCGAGGACTTGGGTCATCTTCCACTGCTATCCCAGGCCACAGCAGAGAGCTGGATCGGAAGTGGAGTAGCTGGGAATAGAACTGGCACCCATATGGGATGCCGACACTGCAGGCGGAGGATTAACCTACTGCACCACAGCGCCAGCCCGTTGTTCTCCTCTTGGATCTAGGAAAACCCTCCCCTCGGATCCTGGTTCCTATCAGCTTCACTATTGCTCTCTCCAACATGTTGGACAACTGCCCCATTTTTGGGGGCTGATAATAATCCCCAATCCACCGATGCAGGGGAGAACTGACCTTTTAGTGCCTGTTAACTTATTCCTGGAATTATATGAGTTCATGCCTATCTTGATTATTTAAAAATTAAAAAAAAATATATATTTTTTTGGGTTGCAATGAGTTGAATGGTGTTTTTTTTTTATATACTTTCAACAAGAGAAGAAAACTATCAAACAAAAAAGATTCCCTAATTAAACATATTTTGAAAATCTTTGCTTATAAAATATTATTATTTTTTTTAAATTTCCAAAGTACGATTTATGGATTACAATGGCTTCCCCCACATACCGTCCCTCCCACCCACTACCCTCCCCTTTCCCACTCCCTCTCCCCTTCCATTCACATCAAGATTCATTTTCGATTATCTTAATATACAGAAGATCAGCTTAGTATACATTAAGTAAGGATTTCAACAGTTTGCTCTCACACAGAAACATAAAGTGAAAAATAATAGATGATTTTTTTTTAAATGATGATGAAATCAGATCAGACCTATTGTCATGTTTAATCCCAGTGAGAGTCAAGTTGGGAGTTGATAATTTCTTTTTTTTTTTTTTTTTTTACAGAGGATCAGTTTAGTATATATTAAGTAAAGATTTCAACAGTTTGCACCCCCATAAAAACACAAAGTGAAATATATTGTTTGAGTACTCGTTATAGCATTAAATCTCAATACACAGCACATTAAGGACAGAGATCCTACATGAGGAGTAAGTGCACAGTGACTCCTGTTGTTGACTTTACCAATTGACACTCCTGTCTATGGCATCAGTAGTCTCCCTATGCTCCGGTCATGAGTTTCCAAGGCTATGGAAGCCCTCTGAGTTCTCCGATTCTTATCTTGTTTAGACAAGCTCATAGTCAAAGTGGAGGTTCTCTCCTCCCTTCAGAGAAAGGTACTCTCCTTCTTTGAAGACCTGTTCTTTCCACTGGGATCTCACTCGCAGAGATCTTTTGCCATGAGTGTCTTGGCTTTCCATGCCTGAAATACTCTCATGGGCTTTTCAGCTAGATCGAATGCCTTTAGGGCTGATTCTGAGGCCAGAGTGCTAGTTTAGGACATCCTGCCATTCTATGAGTCTGCTGATGTATCTCAGCTTCCCATGTTGGATCACTCTCCCCTTTATTTATTCTATCGGTTAGTGTTAGCAGGTACTAGACTTGTTTATGTGCTCCCTTTGACTCTTAGTCCTTTCATTATGATCAATTGTGAACTGAAATTGATCACTTGGACTAGTGAGATGGCATTGGTACATGCCACCTTGATGGGATTGAATAGGAGTCCCCTGGTATGTTTCTAACTCTACCATTTGGGGCAAGTCAGCCTGAGCATGTCCCAAATTGTACATCTTTTCCCTCTCTTATTCCCACTCTTATGTTTAACAGGGATCACATTTCAGTTAAATTTCAACACTTAAGAATAACTGTGTATTAATTACAGAATTAAACCAGTCATATTAAGTAGAGCAGACAAAAAAACTACTAAGAGGGATAATGTATTAAGTTGTTCATTAACAGTCAGGGCTATGCTGATCAAGTCACCGTTTCCAATAGTGTCCATTTCAATCTAATAACGGATGAGCTGAGCACCTAGTAATTATAAGTGCCTCACATGGTATAGCCATAAAATAGTGAAAGGAATAAAAATTGCTGAAAGAATTTAACAAAAAACACCAAAGGCTAGTAGAAATTAACATTTGGGTGTATTTCAGAATCTGTCATCATGGAAGGGTGACACTGATAAGCTATTCATACTTACTATCTGGCCCTTAGAAGAAAACGATGTGGGGTTTTACCTCGGGATGCCATGTGTGGTGCGTCAGCACCAAGGAGTCAGGCAGGGATGAGAAGGTGGAATACAAGGTCACGGAACTTCTTTTCTAGCACTAATTCATGTTTTCTTGCTCGCACCGCCTGCAGGCTTCTGGGGCAGTGCTTTGAAAAGATCTCCAGCTCTCCCTGCCTTAACCGACTGCTGGTCAGCGTCCTTTCTCCAATGGGCCCAAAGTGGGGCTGAGCTCATTACTGCCGGGGAAGCTGCCTTATTTAAACTGAGAGAAGAGGGAGAGGACCACGGACTCTTCAGGTTTCTCTGAAGGCGGTTAAGGGAGTCTTTGCAATCTGACTGCAGTTTGAGTTTGTGTAGTTTACTCCACAGAGACACTGGGGAACAAGTTATTCCCTGGCGCTTAGTATAGTGAGGAGTTAATTAGTCCCTTTCCCTTTCTGAAATTGATGTTGGGAATTGACTTTCAGCAGGTGACTAAAGGAGATGTTCCCAACAGACCCATGAGAAAGCAGCCAAAGCGCCTCAGTGACAGGATGAAAGTCCACTGGGGCCTGATGCAGTAATGGTGAGAGTAAAAATGCAGCGCCATCAGTTTTTTTTTTTTTTTATTTTTTTTACAGGCAGAGTGGACAGTGAGAGAGAGAGACAGAGATAAAGGTCTTCCTTTGCCGATGGTTTACCCTCCAATGGCCAACGTGGCCGGCGCACCGCGCTGATCCGATGGCAGGAGCCAGGTACTTCTCCTGGTCTCCCATGGGGTGCAGGGCCCAAGCACTTGGGCCATCCTCCACTGCAGTCCCGGTCCACAGCAGAGAGCTGGCCTGGAAGAGGGGCAACCGGGACAGAATCCGGCGCCCCGACAGGGACTAGAACCCAGTGTGCCGCGCCGCAAGGCAGAGGATTAGCCTAGTGAGCCGCGGCGCCGGCTCACGCCATCACTTTCTTGAAGGTTTTATTTGAGCTGTGCAGATTTTTTTCAATTTTCATTCCTTTTACGATGTTAAACTAAGAACATATGAGGCATCTCCATGGACTTGTTTTGTCTTTTCTACTGTGAACTTGAGAGTTTTGTCTTGGCTAATGACACGTCATGCCTCTGGAAACCTGTATTCACAGCTTTCATCCTGTAGGTCTGTATGCGTGAGGATAAAGAGTAAAAATTTGTTCACCGTAGGAAATTCAAGATAAGCTTCATGAATGCACTGATCTACCTTGGATCCATCTTGATACCTGAAACATTGAACTTACCCTGCAAGAGGAACCCTAAGAACCATCACTTTCTTGGCAAAAAGCCCATCTTGACACAAAACTGTGGATTTCCCTTCCAAAGACCCCAGGGCCCTTGGAGATCCGTTGACATTTACACATAAACGATTCAGGGATTGCAAAGTGCATGGATATGGGGAGCTTGCAGATGTACAATCAGAAAGAATTGGGAGAGGTCCTCAGGGGGATGCAGTTCAGGTCTGTAGAGGAAATGTGTTGAGGGACAAGGAGTAGAAACCCCAGGAAAATGGGTGAGTGTGGAGGAAAGGGGGTTTGTCCAAAGTTAACCCCGAGATTCACTGTGGTCAAAGAGCAGTGCTGTAGGTGAGAGGAAGCAACAGCCCTGCCCAGGCCTCCTGGATAGGCTGGTCAGCCGTGCGGATCAGCTTGGCTTGGTCATGTGGCTCCCAGGTATTTAGCTAAACACGATTTCTTGGTGTGTCTGTGAGGATGTCTCTGGATGAGATCAGCATTTGTATCAGAAGACTGAGTGGAGGGGGAGGGAGGAAGGGACTATCATGTTCTTAGAATTGTATCTATGGGGGTCGGCGCTGCGGTGTAGTGGGTGCGGTGTAGTGGGTAAAGCCCCCATCTGCAGTGCCGGCATCCCATATGGGCACTTGTTTCCATATGTTCTAGTCCTGGCTGTTCCTCTTCCAATCTGGCTCTCTGCTATGGCCTGGGAAAGCAGTAGCAGATGGCCCAAGTCCTTGGGCCCCTGCACCCATGTAGGAGACCTGGAAGAAGTGCCTGGCTCCTGGCTTCAGATCAGCTCAGCTCTGGCCATTGTGGCCATTTGGGGGGTGAACCAACGGAAGGAAGACCTCTCTCTCTGCCTCTCCTGCTCACTATAACTCTACCTCTCAATCAAAACAAAACAAAGTAGGCTGGCGCCGCGGCTCACTAGGCTAATCCTCCGCGTAGCGGCGCCGGCACACCGGGTTCTAGTCCCGGTTGGGGCACCGGATTCTGTCCCGGTTGCTCCTCTTCCAGGCCAGCTCTCTGCTGTGGCCAGGGAGTGCAGTGGAGGATGGCCCAGGTGCTTGGGCCCTGCACCCCATGGGAGACCAGGAAAAGCACCTGGCTCCTGGCTCCTGCCATCGGATCAGCGCAGTGCGCCGGCCGCGGCGGCCATTGGAGGGTGAACCAACGGCAAAGGAAGACCTTTCTCTCTGTCTCTCTCTCTCACTGTCCACTCTGCCTGTCAAAAAAAAAAAAAAAAAAAAAAAAAAAAAAAAAAAAAGTAAAAGAATTGTATCTATGAACTATGTTGAATCTGTTAAGCACTAATTAAAAATTAAAATAAAAAAACTTAAAGTGAAGAGTAAGTGGAGCAGATCACCTTCCCCAGTGGGAAAGAGTATCACCTGACCTGTTTTGCAGGGGTGGGGAATGTCCCATCTGTGGCTAAATCATTTGGCCTCACCCTGCCATGACGACTGCAGGAGGAAGTCAAAATTCAATACATCTACAGCAGGCTATTTTTTCTTTTCAAATATTAACGCACATTTTATTATATTAAAATAGGGCAGTGGTCTGACAACGGAAAGTCTGCTTATGGAGCACTGCTCTGTTAGACTGTACTGGCACGATATTACCTCCTTAGAACAAAGGTTTGCCCCAGAAAAATGTGAATGGAAACAATTGCTTTTCAGACTTGCTGTTTCAAAAGGTAGGTTTTTTTTTTTTTTTTTTTTACATAAATACTAAATTAAAAAAAACACCTTTAGGACACCCTGACTTGCTTTCTATTTTAGTATATATCCACATTTCAGCATTTAGTGGTCCTGACGGAGAGTGGGAAAGTGCAGCAGCCTGCAGGGAACCAAACCCTCCAGCTTCGGGGATCTGCCGTGCACACTGAGTTCTTTCTCAGTCCCTGCAGACGACCGAGAGAGCAGCACCACTTTTGGCGCAGGGATCCCAGGTTCTTTTTTTAATTTTTTGGTGGCCAGGGTGTCCATCTGTCTCATTTTTTAAAATTTAATTTTATTGGGACTGGCGCTGTGGCATAGTGGGTAAAGCCGCTGCCTGCAATGCTGCCATCCCATCTGGGTG